TGACTGGAATCAAATCGCACGACTTTTGCTTGTTTTCAAATTGGCGGGGAAAGTAAGTTATTTCAGTTATATTTGAATTTTGACATTATTTTTCACATTATTTTTTTATATTTTTGTTTAATTAGCTATTTTCGATAAATATAAATAGAAGTTTGTATTGAATTGCAAGTCATTGAGTGTGATATAAGATTTGTCTCTCATTTTCTCTAAGTTCTCTCTCTTCTTCTTTGTTGTCTTCGTAAGGTCTCAAAGTTTGTTGAAGGGCATAGTACGAAATGTGTTAAATGTGCAGATAAACTATAGACAAAGGCATATATGATCAACGGTAAAAAGACAAGTCTTTTAATCAAACATCTTTAGTATTTTTGCTATATTTTTCAATTTCTTATAGTGAATTGACTTGTCCTACCTCAACGGTAGAATCCAAATTTCCTACTATAAAAGGTCTAGATTTTCACATCAATTAATTTCAAAAAATGAAATACTTGAATTAAACCAAAACAATACTCAACTCTAATCTTAATACATAAGTAAGAAATTGTAATAAAGAAATCATTTATCCTCAAAACTCATTTTTAGCTAATACTCCCTCCGTGCCATTTTATATGTCACATTTTTACTTTGCATTTGTATTAAGAAATGATGTAACTTTACCTTTCTACCCTTATTTAGTTTTTTCTCAAGTCAACTTTATAACAAATGATGAATATATTTTCAAGATTAATTAACTACTTTATCAAGGGTATAATAGGTAAAGTATGGTAATTTATGCATAAATTTTATAAAATGACAAGTATTGTGGTGCAGTTATTTATAGAAAGAGATGACATATAAAACGGGACGAAGGGAGTATCAAATTTGTAGACCATTTTCACAATCCTTTTACATATATTTACACTTACTCCTCAAATATCCCACAAATTCCTACAAATTCAAGGGTATAAATGTCATTACCTCTATTTGCTGTTTGTACGTCACATATTCCTATCCATAATTCCCCAATTAACCCTCTCTCTCTCCATCTCTCGCCGTTATGACAAAATATTTTACATTTTTTCCAACTTTAGGGTTTTCCAATTGCCCTCCAAATTCATCAAATTTACCTTCTTATACTGTTCATCTTGTTCTTCATAATCTTCATCTTCAATTGTATCCATTTATATAGCTCAGCTCTTTAATTGTATCCATTTTTTGGGTTCTAATTAGATCTCTTCAACAACTGCAGCAGTATATCTCAGGTAAAGATGAAAACCCTTTTTGTAATATTTTTTTTTGGGATTTCTGTGTTTGGAATTGAGTTATAGTTGTTTGTTTTGTATTTTTTGTGTTATGTGATAATTGTTTTTGAGATTGACTTGTATGGTACTAGTTTTAGCCTTTTTTGAGCTGCATTTTTTGTTTATCAATGGGATATGTAGTTTGGAAATGTGTAGGTTTCTACAGATGATTAGTGTATATGCAAGCAAGAATTTGAATTGATGTGTTGATGGTGACTTTTGCATACCCATTTGATGTTTTTTTCCTCTGTCGTTTGGTAGATACTGAATTTGGAGTGATGTGGATTTTCAGTTACCCATTTGGAAAATTTGGTTGAAGTGACAGGAGGGATGGCTTGGGTTTAGCAACAAGGTGAAAGGTATTTAGAGGTGTTTAGAGTTATGGGGGATCAAGTATTGGTATCAGTAGATGAGATGTTAGGATCAGGGTCTGATACGAATCGGCAAGTATTGGAATCGGTACGTGAGATGTTAGGATCAGGACTTGATTCAAATGATCAGCAGGTTACAGTAGTACCCAGTTTGAATGGTGTGTTGATTGACCAGCCTTTAGCGATTGGGCAAGAGTTCCCGGATGTTGATACTTGTAGAAGGACTTTGAAAGAGATAGCGATATCGTTGCATTTTGAAATTCGAATAGTAAAGTCAGATAGGAGTAGATTCATAGCTAAGTGCTCCAAAGAGGGGTGTCCGTGGCGTGTTCATGTGTCGAAATGTCCAGGAGTTCCTACATTTACGATAAGGACTCTTCATGGTGAGCATACATGTGAGGGGGTTCAGAGCCTTCACCATCAGCAAGCATCGGTGGGTTGGGTTGCAAGATCAGTTGAATCACGGGTGAGGGATAATCCTCAGTATAAACCAAAGGAGATTTTGCAGGATATCCGGAGTCAACATGGGGTTGCTGTGTCTTATATGCAAGCATGGCGAGGAAAGGAGCGCAGCATGGCTGCTTTACATGGAACCTTTGAAGAAGGTTATCAGCTTCTTCCTGCATATTGTGAACAGATAAGGAAGACTAATCCAGGGAGCATTGCATCAATTGCCACTGGACAGGAGAATTGTTTCCAGCGACTGTTTATCTCATATCGTGCAGCAATTTATGGATTTTTAAATGCTTGCCGTCCACTTTTGGAACTTGATAGAGTTCATTTAAAAGGGAAGTACCTGGGTTTGTTATTTTGTGCTGCAGCTGTTGATGCTAATGATACGTTGTTTCCTTTGGCAATAGCTGTTGTCGATGTGGAAAGTGATGAGAACTGGATGTGGTTTATGTCGGAGCTCCGCAAACTTCTGGGTGTAAATACGGACAGTATGCCAAGACTTACTATACTTTCTGAGAGATCAGCTGGTATGGTTGAGGCAGTTGAGACTCATTTTCCAACTGCATTTCATGGTTATTGCCTGCGTTATATCAGTGAGAACTTTCGAGATACATTTAAGAACTCGAAATTAGTGAACATTTTTTGGAATGCAGTGTATGCACTAACCACATCTGAATTTGAGAGCAAAGTCTCCGAGATGGTAGATATTTCACAAGATGTGCTACAATGGTTTCACCATTACAATCCGCAGCAGTGGGCTGTTGCATTTTTTGAAGGGTTACGATATGGTCATTTTTCACTGGGGATCACAGAAGTGTTGTATAACTGGGCACTAGAGTGTCATGAACTTCCTGTTGTGCAGATGATGGAGCACATCCGCCAACAAGTAACATCATGGTCTAATGATCGCCGAAATATGGGCATGAGGTGGACCTCAATACTCGTGCCATCTGCTGAAAAGAGAATATCAGAAGCAATTGCTGATGCTCGCTGCTATAAAGTTCTACGAGCAAATGAAATTGAATTTGAGATTGTATCTACTGAGAGGACAAATATTGTGGACATACGAAGTCGTGTGTGCTCATGTCGCCGTTGGCAACTCTTCGGTGTGCCGTGTGCACACGCTGCTGCTGCACTTATCTCTTGTGGGCAGAATGCCCAGTTATTTGCTGAGCCTTGTTTCACGGTCCACAGTTATCGTGAAACCTATTCACAGATGATATATCCAATTCCTGATAGGAGCCTGTGGAATGAGGCTGGTGAGGGTACAGACGGTGGGGGAGCAAATGTTGATATTATAATTCGACCACCAAAAACCCGACGTCCTCCTGGCAGGCCCAAAAAGAAGGTTCTTCGCATAGAGAGTTTCAAGCGTCCAAAGAGAGTCGTTCAATGTGGTCGCTGCCATATGTTGGGACATTCTCAGAAAAAATGCTCTTTGCCTAGTTAATCCTTGGTTAGTTGTCAGCTTTCTTTGCTTATGCAGAAAACTTTCATTAAAGAGTCTCAAGTTGTATGTATTTTAGTAATGGCTTAGTCATGAGATTGTTACTTGGCCTCTGCCTTATCAGTTCTGCAGTTGTCTTTGAATATATCAGGAACATATTGTGTACCTTGTACTTCATAAACTATATGGCTAATTGAGTTTCCATCGAATTGTATCAAAGAAAGCTTTTTTCATGTGGTTCCTCTTCCATATTTGTGATTGTTTTATCTAAGCTTGGGTTTCAGATACCGGATGCTTGAAAAAAAAAAAAAGAAAGAGTTCAGTGGTCTCTAGTGCCGAGTTTCTTAAAGGCTTCTTTATTGTTCATATTCTGTGCTTCAATATTTCTGTATCGTAAAATACTGCCCATCTTATATGACTAGAAGATCTCTAGAGGTATTGTCCTTCAGTTTCTTACGGCGAATTTGACAGAGTTTGGTTTTGAATTGTGCTTATAATTGGCTGGCCTTATACCAGATCACTTCTTGGTTGAAGAAGGAAGACATTAACATTCATATCGACAGGTGAGTCAAAAATTAAAATAAAATATCACACTTGACTATCTTATGACTCCACACTTGATTCACTTTTGTGCTCGTAGAAGGTGGCAGGTATCTGGTCGAATAGTCGAGTTGTCCACGTAACTGACCCAGATACCACTTTCACAAGTAACACAACCAAGTAATCACGTTCTGTATTGGCTTTGTTTGGGAGGGAAATCTTGTCTTAAGAAACTTTGCCCGTGTAAGAGAACTAGTGCATGTTTCTACTATGCTATATTTGTCTAGTTATTCTGTAAAATAGCTGCTTTGTTACTAAAATAGCTTGGCTTTACATCTTTCCTTAAAATCGTATTCGTTACAGTTTTGATATGCATTTCCATTTAGAAAGAAAAAGGATCTAATTGAACGGCTAGTCTTCTGCAACAATAAAGAATGCGTCACAATTACAACAACAAATTCAGCGTAATTTGACAAGTAGAGTGGTACCTACCTTATGAAGGTAAATAGGTTGTTTCTGATAGATCTTCAACTCAAATAAAGAAAAGAAAAAAAACATTCCAAAGCAGTTTTGGACACATAAAATATGGAAGTGAAGAAGCCATGGAAAATGTAAGAAAAGCATTACATAACATTCTAAATCGAAGGACAAGAAACTATGAGAATAATACTAATTCTACTGAAAAGAAAAGAGACACGGATACCCAAGCCTATCCCAACGGAAAACGAGACAACAACCGAACTATCCGTTTACCCTAATCCATATAGTGTCCCAGTTGCAGTCTCTAATTTGACAGCCAACTATTAGGTTAATTTACCAGCAAAAAAGTTGATACTACTATTAACATCTGGAGACAAGACGAATTCTAGGTTCAAGAATACGCACGCCACTGTGAACAGATCAAGGAGAATATTGGTGGAAATCGAATGCTCAATTTTGTTGGACCAAAATTTATGTAGTATTAATTTGTAAGGATTTGAGATCTTTACAAGCCACTTTACCTAGTCTATATCCTAACAACACATGCACTGTTTACAAACAACACTAGTTGACCTAAGTACACAATAATAATGAAATTTAAAACCTAGTAAGCCTGTAGTTTTGCAGTTGAATAGTCAAGAGGCTTTTGCATTTCTTCCATTTCTTTTACTGATGGCTTCACATAACCTGCAAGGCAAAGTATCCAGACTAGCTGCCCGTGTTTTTCTATAGTTCCCCATCACGCCACATCTTCTCCATGCATGGTACTCTGCATAAGCTACCGGATTATTAGCAATGGCCTTAACGTACGAGGCCAATTCCTCCAAAGAGCTAAACTTGCTTCCATCAATTATTGAATGTGGAGGTACAAAGTCCCAGACATTCGGGGCACCAAAATAAATGGGGACTGCACCAGAGTCCAGTGCGTAAAACAACTTCTCTGTTACATAACTTTCAGTCTTGGTGTTCTCAATAGCAAGGACAAACTTGTAATGTGACATTGCGCAATGCAAATGATCCCACCATTTGGGTGCTTCCTTAGAATCCTTGATGCACTCGGGATAAAACGAGAGTGCCTTGTCTAGACCTCCAACATTGTTCAGGCACTTGCCAAATGAATGGGAGGGTAGCAAGCTGAGTAGACGTTTGGCAAGCTGGTTTCTTTGAGGAAGACAACGTGACGAAGACCAGTAAACAAGAGTATCCTACAAATTTACAAATCACTAGAGATTATAACAAGCACTTTAAAGAATACGTAAGTAATATCATTAAGCTCAATGATTGAATATTGTACAGGAAACTAAAGGAACAAAGCGGCCTTTCACTTACATTGTTCTTATAAGGAGAAAGGCGATAATTCCGATTGTTATGAAAAAGTGTGCCCGCATAGGTTGACTGGACATCGTCTTTTGCATGATAGCCAATAAATATATCCTCATACCCTGATTTCTTTCTACCAGCTTCAAGATCCATGTATACACGTAATGGATCACCTCGACGTCTCTGATAAGTTAAATAACAATTGTGAGGAGGCTGGAGTGAAGAAAAAAGAATGCAAACTGTGTGCAACCAGTAAAAATTTTACGCAATTCAGATTTACTGTGGGGATCTCAGCAAAGAAGAAAGGTAATTCTCCCCTCCTTTCGATGGAGATATTTAAAACAAAAGGATGAGGAAAAAGACCAGAGGTTGATGCTGAAATAACAACTCTTAAGATATAATTTGCATAACTTCATAGAATCAGAGTATGTTTTCCAACAGAGACTATCTCTGGTAAACTAGGCATTTTAAGAAAGAAATTAGCTAGAGAATATTATTATAATGGTCAGAAGAAAGCAAGATTGATCAGGCAATTCTGACATGATGAACCTCCTCACAGAAAGAAAATGCATTCCACGTAAACATGACCAGAAAATAAAGAATGGAAGATTTACTGATTGACTAAGGTGCTTGAAAAGTGAAAACCATAACGAAACCAAAAGAATTTACTTTTAGGACGAATAATTCATCCCACATATCCTCTAATAATAGCATCAAAAGCAGTGATGTGGATATCATACAGAATACAAATATTAAAGGAAAAAAGAAACTTGAACTGCAAAAACAGAATCAACTAGGGGAAGTGAAACCTTAGGCACTAAGTTTTAGGTTCAACGGAGAGTATCTCTGTAGATTACAAAGTGAAGAAGTCGCCAGACCACTAATAAAGACTTGGTAATCTATCCACCTGTACTTCAACACCTATGAGAACAAATAGCTATCTTTGATGTCCTAACAAGCTGCCAACAACTATTGTCGCATATAACTTCCTAACAAGTTATTACAGTACATAGCTATATCACAGAAAATAAAGAAAAGTGCTGAATGACAGTAATGTATAAAGAACTTGAATTTTGCATACGTCTAAAAGGAGCACAATATATGCTCAATTCACAGTAATGTATGAATAGACTCACTAATTGGTAAGTTGAAACAATTCATAGCAAAAATATTTCACAGAACATAGCAAGTACAATAGACAACTATTTAGGTTTTCCATCACAATTGAATGAAAGGCTTTGATCACCTTATACAAAAATAAAATTTAAACTAAGAAAGAATCATGAATCATTTGGGTCTGGTCACTGGTGTATTTTTTACCAAAATAATAGAGAGCCGGATAATCATCCTACCATTACAAGTAAAGGGTAAATTATTATTTTTTCAATTCTTTCCATACGTTAATAACTATATGTGGAAGATAACCATTTGGTTGGTCAAGATCACTGCTTTGAGGTTCTATTTGAAAACAGTAGTCTATGTGACATGTATGTAAGACGTAGGTAATAAGTGGCTGTGGGTTAGTCCATCCGAAAACTAAAGGCCAAAAGGTTTCATTTTCCATTCCATGCAAAAAGAAAAATCATAGCTGCAAGCTCCACTGATTATCTTTGGAAAAACATCAGAAGTTTAACAATAAGGATGTGCAACGAGCTGCAGGGGAGAGGAGGAGAGGAACCTGACGCTTCAAGATGGATGGAGACGACCCAGAATGTAAAGACTAACAAGAAGCTAAAACATGAGCAAAAAAATATTGATAAGAAGTAGATAATTCAAAATGCTTAGTGCACTCACATATATATATTTCACATAATTAAACATGGTTAGATAATTTCTTCAGAGCATTTAATGGCACTTAAGTTGTTAATAGTATATTGCCTCTAACATTCTGAATGCTTGAGTTCGTCATACTCTAATTTTATAAGAAAAAGGAGATGAGGTAGATGGAATAGACAAGCTGCATCCTCTAGGTTACTGATTATTTGAAATTCATCACTCTTCCATCTTATGACATCTTATCACTCTTTGGTGAGGCATAAGGAATCATATACTGATACCAGCAAGGTTCAATATTGATCTTACAATATTAGACATTTGGTCCATTTTATTTGGAGAAATCCTCTCATTTGCGCAAAAGCAGCAGCATACCTTCAAGGCTGAAGGAAGTTTTTCCCACCCTGCCTCAACCCAAATTAGTAGGGTGTTGGATACATGAGTCGTCAGTTTACATTTTGCTGCATTTTTTTAACGAGAAATAAGGTTCTATGACACTAGAGTTTCTCTATGTATCACATTTATTTTACACGGATGTACAAGTAACTAAGCAGAATAAGAAGCCCTTCACAAGCACCGGGCTAATGTAAGTGTAAAACGACTACTTAGCCTTATCGGGCTAATAGATCATTTGCCTCCATTCTGTCATGTTTTGGAGCTAAGCTGACATTGATCCTAGAGATTATAGACGTTTAGAGCCTCAGACAGTAACGAACCAAAATCCACACAATCAGGAAATACCACAAAGTAGAAACATAGGTTTATCTAGATGCATTATCACTATTGATTACCAAACAAAAGAACTCATTCGTGCTAAGATTGATAAAACATGAATTTCCGAGATAATAACAATTAGTTGAGTGATCATTTGAGAAATCAACACGATAAAAGAGCTAACACTGATTAAGAAGAATACCTCAACAGGAGGAGTAGATGTCTCAAACAACAAAGCATCAGGTTTATCAGCAACAACCGAAGATTTAGTCCACAAACAGCTAAGCCCACACCGACAAGAGTATAAATTATCTAAATTATCAGGAATCCAAGTCCACCCTTTAACTAATACACTCACATGATCCATCTTTAGCTCATTACACTTCAATTCACCATCATCAACATTTTGCAAAGAACCAGAAGAAGAATCCAACAACAACCCATTTCCTAATAACCCTTTGTGTTTCCCCCTAAACTGAGCACAACCCACTTGAGAATCCCATTTCTTAAAAGCACCCAACAAATTACTAAACGGGTCGGGCTCGGAAACTGAGATGGTGGTCAAGATTTGATTTTTCGTTGATGGGATTGAAGAAGTGTGAAGTGGGAAATCAAGAAATCCAGAGAAGAACAGAATGATAAGTGTAAAACCCAACATGATTGTGATTGCAAATGTGTTGACAGATTTCAATTGCATTTTTCACTTCAAGAACACACAGAAGAAATCAGCTTTTTTTCTCTCTCTCTCTCCCTCCCTTGGTCACTCAAGGAGAGAGAGGGGAAGGGGGTTATCAAAATAATTGATCTGAGAATGATGATTGGTATTCTTGAAGGAGCAATTTTCATCTACCGGTGGTTAGATTAGTAAAAATTGTTTGATTATTCAACATAATATTGTCTTGGAAGACTAATATAAGCGTACTGTTGGGATTTTGGAAGAACCAGGAAAAAGAGAGGACAACTCTGAAATCATGATGATAAAAATTAAATTTGCATCTATTTTGTGATAAATTTACATAAATTTTGAGGTAATTAAACACGGCACACTCAATTATAACTTACCAAGAAAATGACCTTGATATGAAAGTCGAAGATTAAGATAGAAGATTAGTAATTAGTCAAAGCATTGTCTAATTTCCTTACCAATTTTGTTATTATTACTCTCCTGCTAATCATATTTTTCGATTATGGTATTACTTGTGTTGTTTCGTTTGCTTCAATTTTTGTATTATTTTTTGTTGTTATTCTCACATTTGATTTAGGTGGTTCAAAAATAGTATATGAACAAATATAAAAAAAAAATCTACCCTTATATATGCAATGTAGTTTTTTTTCTAAAGGGGTTCGAATGAACCTTTGGCACCCTCATAGATCCACCCCTGCACAAAATAGAGGTAAGACTGTATACACATCATCGTCCTCTCCAGACTCCACTTATGGAATAATATTGAGTTTGTTGTTGTTAGTTAGTTCAAATTCTGAGAGTCAATTTTTTTGTAAATCTGCTCATGTATTTAAAACATACAATCTTTTAAGTTTTTTTTTTTTAAAAAAAAAATAATAATAATTTGCATAGCTGGAAACTATATTAAAAGTTCAATAAGTCACAAAATTAACAATTTAAAACATTAAAATAACATACAAATGCTCCTGCGGTTGCAGCAAATACACAAGGCCAGAAATTCTAGCACTTGGTTCTTAAACATAATATGCATAGTACTTATTGGCACAACATTACTAAAGATGAGAACCCAGACTCTTCATCTCATACATTTCTAGACAAGACTTCTCGATACCTAAACTTAGCTTCTTGAAAGATAAAATTACATGGTAACAACTCTTACCGACTCAGTCATACTCCAATTCATCTGGAGTTACTGGTCGTTTAAGAGGGATGATAGACTTCTTTTCTACATCTCGCGATAGAGCCTTCCTCATATCTGGAACAGCAAACAGGAAACAATGGTCATAACAGTGACATCATAGAGCAAAATGCAAATGGAAACTATATCACAGTAGATGCAGCAACTTACCCAAACCATCTTCCTCCCCCGAGTAATAGCGTAAAACTCGCCTATATACTATGTAATCAAGCTGGAAAAGATGAAACAGTTAATAGGATTAATACCAGGAATCAAATTCATCCAGATACAACTACAACAAGGTTAATCTCAGGAAAGGTTACTACCTTCTCGTACATCTTTATGGCTGGTGTATTTGATGCTCTCACAAACAAGTCCACAAAGTAAGCCTTATCACTACAAGAACAAAGTTCACATTAGTGCCAAGCTTGGACAGCATATCACACAATTAAAAAGATGGATTCAACTAGTAGCCACAAACATCCAGCAAAGTTCACAAAAAATGTTATTGTTCTACTTGACACTAACTTTATACCATCACACAAAATGAGTGATTCAATCAAATTAGCCCATTATAGTTTAAATAGAACAAAGTTCAGAACTAAACACTTCTAGGAAGTCCAAAAGAAGAGAAGGTTACTGATCTCACTCAACGCTCCGTCATATTAAACTTCATGTCATCATGCAAAGACTGGTGATGCCAAGTAGCAAGAATATTAGAAATAAAAAAAACAAAGCTGGGCTCCACAAGGTTAATTTCTGCTAAAGATGAAACTGATCTAATTGTATCACTTCACACTCAACTTTTATGCCATCACACAAACTTACATAACTTTTTTTTTGAACCTCGTAACTTTATAACATAACTTTTAAAAAAAAAAAAAAACTTACACAACATAACTATGCCTTGAATAACAACACTAAGGAGCCGTTTGGTTACTGGTTAGAGTTATGCATGTATTAGTTATGCAGGATTTAGTTATGTAGATATTAGTTATGCAGGGTTTAGGGTTTAGTTATACAGGTATTAGTTATGCAGGGTTTAGTTATGCAGGGTTAGTTATGTGGGTATTAGTTATGAGAGTATTAGTTATGTAGGTGTTATTTAGTTAGGTAGAGATTACATTACATGAATTATTAACTATTGAATATTGATTTTAATATAAATTAATATATATTATTTACAAATAAAATAAGTAAGCAATTAGTATAAATTCTCCCTTCAGAAAATTAAAGAAAGGAATTTTCTCTATACTTAACTAGGAATTCTGTGTTTTTTTTTCTCTTTGTTTTTTTTAATGTTATTAGCTTATAAAAATAAAATACTATTGATATATTTCAAGGACATTATACTATCCTATTCTATATAATGTAAATTTCTATCAATATGATGCATGTGTTGTTTGTACATTTTCAGTATACCAAATATATAAATTATATATAAATTCACATTCTAAATAAAAAATTAATACATGATATATGTGGATATATTTAGTAATATATAATGCAAATATATATATAATTAGCATATGTGCTATCAAAATTATACATTCCTATTCATAATATTAATATTTTAATTTTAAATGAACACAAATAAAAAGTCGTTTGTATACAAAAAGAAATAAGAAACAAAAATAGTTGTGAAAATAGAATAGTTATGTAAAGTTTTCAATAAAAAAGATTTAAAAATAAATTAATAGGGGTAAATGTGTAATTTATCTTTTTAATACATGTATAACTAATACCCACATAGCTTATTCCACCTTCTATCTTGCATAACTTATACATAGATTCCCTCATAAGTTATGTAGGTATTAATTATGTAGAATTACAAAAAAGGCAACCAAACACCGTATAAAATTAATACATGAATAACTTTTATACAATATTTAAAGCTTATCAACCAAACATAGTATAAGTCATGTTGACTTTTCAACCTAATAAAAAACTTTTACCAAACATAGTAAAACTAATACAATGTTTTATACATGAATAACATGCCCTCTTATACCGTAACCAAACGGCCCCCAAGGGAAATAGGATACCACTTTCAGTATCCACCAAACTGGAAAAGAAAGGAGGTTCCAGTATCCACAGTACCAAGGTCAGAATAAAAGCACCTAGAAGGCTAAAATGATGTTTTAATTCACTAAAAAAGACAAAGGACATGCATAGATTTATAAAGGTCGGCCCAAAATTTGCAGTACTTGTACAAGTGTACAGTGTTAGTGTGTCACTATGCATTCATTAAATCAGTTGAACTTCTATGAGCAGAATTCACAATGTAGACTACACTATTTCTGTAAGCTACAATTACATACAAGGAAGTAAACCAGAAGGTAGAAATGTCTGTAACATGATTTTAGACGTCTAGTGAAACAAACCACAAACAAGTGGAAAAACTGTAAGCAAACTGCTCATGCCAAGTTAAAATTAAATACCACTCTGTGGTAATCTGCAAGCCTATACATAAAAAAGAACTGTGAAACAACAAAATGATAAATTTGGAAAGATGAATTCGAATAATGCGACCAGAATTCATGAAATAATGTGAACTAACATTTTACCATGTATGGACTTAATTTTCAGGATTCTAATTATCACATACATTAATCCCTCAGTAATAGAACTTAGTAAATAACAGTTTTTACACTGTATGAGTGCTTACATCTTATCACTGACTTCTTCCAGCAGGTTCATCAATTTCTTGGCTAATTGCTGCCTCCGATATTCAGGAGCCACAGTTACTGCAGTGACGTGACCATGCCAAGATTCACCTTGCCCTTCAACTTTTCCCATAACTGTACACATAAGCCAGGCATTAGTTTTAAAAAAACAGATGTTTTTGTATGAGTAATTTTTCAAAACATTGATAACATGCACTCTTGCTTGGTTATTAAAAAACCCACTCTGGCTAATTTATGAGAGCCAGAATGCACCAGCCAGTAGCCATAATAAGACAACTACATAATTGACATTCTAACCACTTTGTCACCCATGAAGAGGCCAGAATACACCAGCCAGTGCCAAACTAAGTACATAATTGACATTCTAACCACTTCGTCACCAATAAAGTTCAATATTTTTTTATATAAAAAAAAAGAGTAAATGAAGCCTTCCACCGAAGGAAGTATAAGAGAATGATTACTTGCATCTGCCTTAGACCTAAAATCTATTGCTGAAAATTTTCAGAAACATAGTGTTAGCATCAAGGGGAACAGAATTAGTGAAATCCACCTAAACCAGCACAAGAAATCTACTTTCCGTCCCCAATCTCTTCTCGAAAGAGAAATGAAATTCAGAATACTTATCCTTACCATTCCTTGCTACAACCTATTGTTCAAACTGAATTCAATCAAGCAAAGTGATTCCTTGACAACTATACTGACAAAAAAAAGCTAGAAAGACAAAGTTAATGTATACCCTGCATCAAACTGCAGCTGAAGAATCATCCTCGAGAAAATCCTCCCCCCTCCATCCACCTTTAGAAAACAATTTGCTCTTGAAAAAGCAGGTAAGATTAAGGGAGAGTTTTAGGCATATTATTTTCAATTGTTGCAATTATTTTCTTGATCTTCAAAGATTTTCTGTATTCTTAAAGGACTCTCTCTACTTAATTGGCTCCTATCTACCACTAAGGCATTTAGTCAATCCTTCAAGCTTATATTTGATATTTCTAATTTAATCAATCTGTATATAAATTAAATAATCATCAGTCGTCTGCTTAAATCATCCCAAAAAAGTGATGAATTTTAAAATCTACACTGGAATAACTCACTGTAACCCATGATGTGGCCGCCGGGAGCTTTTGCAACATGGAAATAATCCGGCCATCTTGCCATGTAAGTCATATAAAATGACATGTTGAACTGCAGCAAATGTTAAAACTAATTTTTAATTATAACAGAAGGCACTAAAAATCGTGCTAAAATTCATCCAAATTTCACAAAATACTACAAATCATGTTTAAATCCTTTCAAATTTCTAAAAGGCATTCAGAATCATCTTAAAACTCGTTTCTAACTCAGAAAAATACTACTAACTATGCAGTTTTCGTTAAGAATTTACAAACAAAAAAACGAAATTTAGGGGGAAAAGAAAGGGTTCAATTGGTTTACAGTTTCAGTAAGATGATC